AATGGTAACTGCTTACACTTCTGAAATTTAAGTCTCCGTGTTTTTCCTTTCCATTTGAAAGTGGACTCACGCAGTATATTTTTAAAAGTCCCATTTATAGAGAGAAGGGCATGGTTTTGATATTCTAAGGTGAAGAAATGAGCAGACATACCAATGTTTCCTGCTTGTGGTGGTCAAATTCCTGTTGAAATGTGCATGGCTATGGCATGGATAAGCACTCAGTGAGAACTGGATGAGTCCTTTCCCCCATGTGCTATGCTGCTGAGAGCATGATAGTAAATGTTTCTGAGGTCAAGCATGTGTGACTGTTGTTCTTCAAGAGACTAACATGGGGAAGCAAGTTTACAAACTACAACTTGCCAAAATATACTGATTCTTGGGATAGTATTCTCATTTGGAGAAGTGGACGCATACTTCTCAGGTATCTGCTGTAAAGGTACATGAATGGTAGTGCTCACTAGATGAGCAATAGTGACCTTATAGATTGAATCACAAGTAGAGCGACCAACAGTGTCTTAGGAGGTCCTTGTCAAAGTGTTGGTAAAGTTCCAACCTTTCTAAGCCTGTGAGATATGGTATGTTTAATATCTAAGTGGCTATAGATAAGGGTTTTTTTGATTACATTTTTAGAGGCCTAAATTGAGGACAAGTTGAAAGCATTGCCAAAGCCATGACTATGAGGAAAGAGCATTGCTTCCTATTGTACAAGTGTATATGCATTTTCCTTTCCTTCTCAAGTAGCACGAACTGGGGATAGGTGGAATGTGGTTTTGGATCCCCCAGGTCTATCTTGCCCTACCACAGACACGCCTTTGTGCTATCAACATCCCTCCATCAACAATATACCCATGCTGCTTCCTCTTGCTTTTTCATTATGGGCAGTTATGAGACCCAGCGTCACTTTTTCTGTTGGTTCCAAACATTGCTATAAAAACCCATTAACTGTGCTCTGTTTCTTCATCCTTCCTTACGTCCTTGAGTACTCTGGTACTGATAATCTCCTCCATCCTCTGAGCCCTGCTGTGGAGTTACACAATGTTTCAAGTATCTTGGTGTTCTCTTTTCTTCTTACTCCTCCTGCCTTCCCGTTTGTCTCTGTACCAAACTGCAGAGTGGTTACTATAAAATCCCTGTCTTGGATTCTGTGCCTCCTTCCCAAGCAAACACTGGGAGTTTACTACAGAGAAGCAACAGTAGAGCATTTTCTGTTAAGCACTTGGAATGAAGTTTTGTACTTGCAAGGTAAATTGTACAAACAGCTTTTCAACCATGTGCTTGCAGGAGCGGTTTTTCTAGGGCTTCAACTGGGGATGCTGACTGTCAACAGATCACTGAACTATGTCCAAATATGACCCGCAGGTTATCTGATTAAAAAAGTTTTTGATCTTACATTGTGATCCCATTATGATCTTAGAATTGAAAATAAGGCTGGCTTAAGCTAGAATCAGGTTATCTGATTTCCAATTACTTTAGTTCCTTGATGGATCTGTAAGTTAATCTGAAAGCATGCTCTACTTACCATGATTTTTCCTATGTGCAGAGTGTTCTACCATATTATGTGGCAACAAAAATGTCAAAAATCCGCACACCGACCTTTGATAAGCCCAGTCCTGAAACATATGTCAGAGCTGCTTTGAGCACAGTAGGCCTGCAGTCCCGGACCAATGGGTGCCTACCTCATGCACTCATGGTAAGTCACTTTGGAAAATGTAAGGGTCTGAAATGTCCTTTGTGTTTATTATGGGAAAAGAGTCTTTAGTACAGCCTATAAAATGCTGAGACCTCATGCCCTCCTTTTTGTTTTATTCTTTTTTTTTTTTTTTTAGGCATGGGTCTTCTCTCTTCTACCTACGTCTACTGCCATTAACTTAGTCATGAAAATAAACAAACAAATACGGGCTCATTATTTGAAAAAAATGAAGCAGAAGTAAACTGGAGACAACTTGATCTTGGAAGCCTGGGACTCCTGCAGGTTCTATACCTGCAGCATCAAGTAGACCTAATGTTTTAAACATCTTCAATAGTAGGTGTACTTTCTAACATGCAAAACAGTCTTGTTTTCAGGATACAGGTGAAACAAAACTGTTGATTTTCAATATTGATTTAAAAATAGGCTTTATTTGTTTATAGATATTATGAGGGGGGAAGTGCTTTGAACTAAAATTGCACTGTGCTTTAAGAAATACTTTCATGGACTTGATCAGACATCGTGTTGTTGAGGAACATCTTGGTTATATCATGTCCATCACATCTATGTATTGTGCTCATGGGTGAAGGGCAGCAAAAGAGTAGTACTCACAGGTGGGCAGGAGAGGGAAAGGAGCATATTTATCTAAAAAGGTAACCTAGCGCTATTTCCAGAGTATTGACCTCTTTCTCAGCTCAGGTTTTGGATTCTGCACTGTCAGCCAGCTCATGAATGCTCCCCTGCTTACATAGTCCAGTGTGATTTTTTGGTTATGAACTTGAGGGAAATGGGCCAAAAACAAAAATAAGTGTAATAGCTCATCTATAAATATATACATAAAATAACATTGCAAAAAGAAGCTAAATTCTTGGGTCTTGAATATGGATTCTACCTTTTCAGTAATATGTAATCTTCACAATTTGTAATAACATTTTTAAAAGTTCAGTGCCTGCTCTTTGTAATAGGTGGTGATAACACAATGTAGATAAATGTCACAAGTTACACGTTATATGCTGGTTGCTATGTAAAAGATTATGGGTACTTTAAATACAGAGCTTGAAATGAGTTACTCTCCTTGCAACGGTGGTTAAATTCTTTTTGAAGTATGTATCAGTCTGTCTTTTTGGTGAGACCCTTTGAAATGTGAATCCTGAATATTTAGACAGCTTTAAAAGTGAAAAACAGTAAACTTTTCAAAATGTAGAACATTTTTAGTTTAGTCATGTTAAAATTAACTGATTTGTTTCATGGTTCTATTCTAAAATGGAGTGCTCCAGCGAGGCTCAAGTTACCTGACTCCAGGACACAGGGATCAGAGTACGTGAGAGAAGTCTGCACTGCTGTCTTCTGCATTTACCTAGTCTTTATTTAAAGATTTTGATCTCTAACATTCCTTTTTATAAAAATAAAATGTATAAAACTTGCAAGGCAAATGAAACTGTAAGCAGGTACCACTGTTTTCTGTGGTGACTTCCTATGGTTGAAAAGGGGAGGTTGTTTTCTATCCTTCAAAGAATAATTTCAAGCTCTGATTTTGAAGTAAAATGTATTGCACTGAGACGTGATTTGGGGCTAACATTTCTGTACATTGAAAAAACCTGAATACCGATGCAATGGTGCTGATCAAATCTGAGATGCAGATCCTATCCCATAGTTTTCTTAATTTTTTGGAACAGGGATGGTAAAGTCAGTGGTATTAGTTCTGTAAGAGCACATGATTTGGTTTGCTCTGGATCTGATGTGGAAGCATTGGACTAAAAAATCTGTATGTTTTTGACTTTGTAAAACAAATAAAATGGAACTTACTCTGACTCTTTAATGTGCTGTTCTTTTTCTTTAAAATATTTGCCTGTACATTCAAATGCCTGATTGTCCTTTATCGTGTATAATAACACAGTGAAAATTACTGTACTTTTACATGCCAAAACCAAAGCTTTCATTAGCTGTTTTCCTGGCTGTTATCTACTCCCTGTCTGGGTTGCATCAGGCACAGCATCACTGGCCAGTCGAGGGAGGTGATTGTCCTACTCAGATACTCTGCACTAGTGTGGCCTCACCTCGAGTCCTGTGTACAGTTTTGGGTGCCACCATATAAGAAAGATACAAAGCTGTTGGAGAGAGTCCAAAGGAAGGCAGTGAAAATGGTGAAGGGCCTTAAGGGGAAGCCATACAAGAAGTAGCTGAGGTCATTTGGTCTGTTCAGCCTGGGGAAGAGGAGACTGAGGAGACATCTCATTGTGGTCTTCAGTATCCTTGTGAGGGGAAGCAGAAGTGTAGGTACCAATCTCTTTTCACTGGTGACTAGTGACAGGACCCGAGGGAATGGCCTGAAGCTGAGTCAGGGGAGGTTTAGGTTGGATATTAGGAACAAGTTTGTCACCAGAGGGTGGTTAGGCACTGGAATGGTCTCCCAATGGAAATGATCATGGCACCAAGCCTTCCAGAATTCAAGAAGTGTTGGCACAATATTCTCAAACACATAGTGTGATTTTTGGGGCTATCCTGTGCAGAGCCAGGAGCTGGACTTAAGATGATCCTTGTGAGTCCCTTCCAGCTCAGGGTATTCTATGATTTAACAGTGCTGATATGTTAAAATCACTGGAACACAAAATAAATTTTGTTTGAACTGTAATTAAGATATTAATAAGAAATAATTATCTCCAAATAACAATTTTCTAACTATTGAAGGTGTTTGGAAAGGTGCGTCAGGGAATAGTAGGCACATCCAACTGGCACAGATGGAGGGATGCCCCTGTAAATGGGGTTCTTGGAGCCTGTGGTCACTGTTGTTGTGTTGGGCAGGCTACAGTTTGGATTCCCACTCTCATGCTTCTCCTCAGGTCTTTTATTTTCTAAGCTGCAGCAGAGAATTGCTAACTTTAAGTGAAATTCAGGTAAAAATTTAAGTTTAACCTAAATTGCCCTGACTTCGATTTTGAATGTCTGTTCACCTTAGTGATTGAGGTAGTGTGTACTCAATAGCTGCCCGTGTGCTTGGGAGTATCCCGGGCACCTGGCAGAAAACAGGAGGGCATTTCTGTTGGTATCAGCCTTGTCGTCTTGCATTTCTGCTTCCAGGGGTGTTTTTGTCACCGGCGCAACGCAAGAGCTGGAGCAGGGTGGGAGGCGAGTTGGGTGCCTGCTCCTGCCGTCCCAGGGACAGGAAACCTTCAACTCTGCCCCTGCGTGCCGCGGCCGGAGGGCGGAGCACAGGGCTGGCGGCGGGGCCCGGGCGCAGGCTCAGCCGGGTCTCTGGGGCCCTCCGCCGGCGGAAGGGAGCGGAGCGCCGGGCGGGTTGTGGCGGGGGCGGGCGGAGCGCCGTGCTGGGATGGCGGAGCGGCGGCTGCGGGCCCGTGTGCAGGGCGGCTGGGCCGGCGGCCCGGCGGGGCGGCCCGCAGGTAAGGAGGCCGGACAGCCGCCTCACCAGCGTCGTGCGGCGCCCCGGGCGGGCCCGGCCCTGTGGGAAACGCTGGGGCTGCCTTCCCCTTCCCTACAGACGGCGGGGAGAAAAGTGCCGGCCTTGGCGCGGCGGCGAGCGGCGGGCGGCGGGACCGGCCTCCGGCTGCGCGGCGCCGAGGGGTGGCCCTGCTTACCCCGCTCCCCTCGGTAACGGAACTGCAGGTGTCCGAACACAGTGTTTGAGTAAAACTTGTACGTGTGCCGCAGGTGTGGCCGTTTTGGGTGCAGAACGCAAGGTATGGATGTGTTGCTAATGTGCACATTGAGGCGAGTGCACGGTACACATCTCCCGGCGAGATGAATGAGGCGAATAGAACTTGATGGAGCTGACTGGTGTGAGAATCAATAGTCACTTTTTATTCGTAAAACACAATGTATGTCTTCGTTTACCTTTTCGCGGTGAAAACATTGCAAAATAAAGAGAGCTGTTTGGAAGGGCTGGAGTTAACAACACAGTTCTTTTAACAAACATTGAAACCAAACCATACAGAGGCAGGAGACCACTTTGTAGGTTTCCAGTCTTGTAGGAGGGACTGGTTTGTTTTTGTGAACGTGCTCAAAACACTGTGTTCCACTCACCTGATTACAGTTCCCATAAAACTCCCATATCTCTGCAGACTGAGCATCCTAGGCAAGCTGATTTATTTTTTTTTTAATCGTGAAAAAACATAGCCAACTCTTATGATTTGTGCTTGTGGCCTGTAAATTTTGTGTCACAGGTGCATTTTATTCCACCTGTTCCTAAAGGAATTAAAAAAAATATTTCCATCTTTTGAATTATGCAGAATGAAGACTTTGTGTCAGGCTTGTTTTAAAGCCTGTCTGCATGTGTAAATAGAACACATGAAGTGGTATGCCTGAGTTCCTCTTCCATACTTCCTAATTTAAAAATCCTGTTTTAATAAAAATATTTCTCTCTCTTTTTCCCCCCCCAAAAAAAAAAAAGATACAGAGGGAAGTAGTTTGGCTGCATGGGACAATTTCTGCTGGCATGTCATAGGTGTTTGGTTTAGAATTGAAAGGTTCTAGATGTCATCCTTTCTGATAAAATGATGCTTTCATTTTTGTTTGTCTATAGATAATGAATATGTTTTAAAAATTTCAGTTCCTGTGCAGTTTTAACTCTTTAAGTAGTTTAAGTTTGGCTGTTTTCTGGAGTCTCTGCCCAGCAGAGGAGAATACTCCAAGGAATGATCCTGTAAATTCTTCCTAACTATATTTTTTGTATGATGATATTCTATTTCAAGTGATCCTTCTTTTTTTTTCTCTCTTTGCTTTAGCACCTAAGGCACCTGTGGTGAGCAGCCTTGCCCCTGCGGATGCCAGACCGGCATGGATGAGGAAAGATCAGGCTCACACTCAAAAGCAATTTGTCTTTGAAAAGCCATCAGAGGTAAAAATTACACGGTAACTAGCAGAATCTCATCCATGATTAAACTGCAGATGATAAAAATTATAAAAAGGATAAAAAGTATTTGAGAATATAGTCTGTTGTTTAAAAACAATTAAAAACTCAGCTGAGCTGAACTTTGGGCTTTTACGAAGCAGAATTTGCAACTGTCTTGCATATATGGCAAACAGAAAAAATACTGTTCCTCTATTTAACCTGTTCATAACTACCATTTTTTTTCACAGAGCTGAAAGAATATGTTCTCCTAAATATTCAGAATGATGCAATGTCCTAAGCATTGAGCTCTTTTTGTTTTCCTCAGCTGGGATATCTGTCTTGTTGCAGGCAAAGAGTATGGGATTCGTTTTATACACCTAATGTCCCATCAGCAGATGAAGAATATTGTGCTCTTTGCAGAAAAAGGGCAGCTCCTTTCTTGGGAAAAAAAAATAAATCATGAACACTTCTTTCTAAGCTAGACTTATTTCAAATGCTTGGAAGAATTGAAGATGGTCTGGGAAGATTCTCCTTTCTTTGTGACAGAGCCCTGGTATCTATATAGTACTATATTTTGATCCTCTTGCTGGTGCAGTGCAGTACCTCCATGCATCTCAGCACTCTGAGCTCAGAGAAGAGAAACATAAATCCCTGAGACAACCAAAATGATAGCCAAGGCTGGATTAAACTACTTTGTCTTTTGTTTTAACAAAAACCAGCTATCTCAGCTGTGCAGACAATTTTACAGCATCAGCTCCTGCTATGTTTGGCTTCTCTTGTGTTTTACTCACTGACTGAGGCCTGGGGTTTGTTCATCTGTCCTAAAGTTAATCTAGATTTTTACTTGTGTAAGGATATTTTAATGAATGTAAGGATAAGAATTTTCTTGTTTGCAGTTGATAAATAGCAAGTATTATAATAATCCAAATAATTTAGAAATCAATGTCCTTTAGGGGGCAGTTGATTGTTAAAAACCAGCCTGCAATGATAGCTGCGTTTGAGAGTTTCTGTGGTGTGGAGGGAGCGGGTGGGTTGTTACTGCTCATGGATTGTCCAGAGGTATGTTTTCTCACTGCCATATCAGTGTGTGGCTATCCTGAGTCACTAGAGAAGACCTTTAGTTCCGTTTGACTAGAGTGTGCCAGGTACTTAGATATTTAATATTCATTGTGCACTCTCTTGTTACCTTTTAGGTGGAGCGCAGAGTTCCTGAGGCAGGTGTGATAGAGTGAGTACACTGCTGACTTAACTGTCCCTCCCGCAGTTTTTCTGTCATTATGGTCGGTGGGAATCTGCTGGAAAAGAGTTCCTTCTCCACACACAACTGCCATACCTTTGGAAGAAATTTCAGTAGAAAATGTGGACTTTCAACCCTTTATCCTGAGCTGAGTGTATTATCAGGAGAGTCCAAATCTGTTAACTGGTTTTTATAGCTTTGGTGTAGCTGTGTAAGCCAGGAATAACGATTAATTGGACATTCTGGTTCAACAGAACTGCCATTATGTCTCCTTTGGTTAGCAGTGTACATTTTCCTGGAACAGTCCCTGTGTAAACTATGCTGGAAATTACTTACTCTGGAATATACCAGGAGTATAGCTGGTATGGCAACTTCTTTGAAGGCTTGGAAAAGTAGCTGATAGTAAGTGTCACAGTGAAGCTGGATATTTGTAGATCACTTACCTTTTGTGTTGAAATGGGGATCTTCTGAGGATAATTTTGACATGAAGGGTGACCGAGTGTGGTGGTGTATGGTGAAGTTTGAGATAATGAAGATTAAATATTCTTCAGTTTGGCTATCTTGGTGGAATTTTCTTACTCAGGGTGCCTATAAATGCAAACATAGTGATCTGAGTGCAGTCTTATGTGGTTGTCTCCTTTAGGTTCCCTGTGACATCCCTGTTTTATTTATCTCTAGAGTCCTAAAACTGTGTATTGAGCCCTTGGTGAAAAGAAAGACAGGAAGTATACACAAACTCATGTGCTTCTGCAGCATCCCTTGCTGCCTTACTCTGACCCCTATCTCCAGGACATTATTGCTTCCCTTTTTTAATTTTCTTTTCTTTTTTAAAGAAAAAATTTCCCTAGTCCAGGCCTGCAGCAATTCTAGTCTGTGCTGCCCAGTCTAAGATAGTTTCTTGTTGTTTGTCTTTCTGATGTTTCTTTTCCTTTCTACATCCTCAGCAAGCCTGGTGTGTATGAGCTCAGCAAAGGGCCAACTGGCACTTCTAGGTAAGTGGCTGAAACTTCTTACTTGCTTTTGCAGAGTGATGTGGTGATACTCAGACTTCTGAAGCCCAGTCTCTGCAGAGCATTCTGACTCTAGCAGCAGCACACTGCCCTTCCTGTGTATCATCTGTTTAGAGTACTTCTGGAAATACTTTAAGTATCAGGTAGCAGAGATTTACGTGGTTCTGAGCAGCACTGAAGAGAAGAAAAATAAATGTCTTGAGATTTAGTGAGTACTGCATCTGGTGTGCTTGTCTGGAATAAGGACAAGGGGCTTTGTCCATTTGATTCATGATTCAGAATAAGTTACTGCTGGAAGTTTGGGTTGGTATTCCTATATTAGCAAGTGCCTGATGTCTGTGTTGTACAGTTAAGAGCTGCCAAAAACTTTTAGCTGTAAATTAGACTTGTTTTAAATTAATCTAAAAAAAGCATTTAACTTCAGGCAGGTTTGGTAACTTTAGGGTTGTCTCTTTTGCTTATATGCCATGCCTTAATTATTTCAGCTTGAGGGCACTTCAAAACAATGCCTACTTGTTCTGTGATTTTGCTAACTAAAATGCATTTTACTTTACCTGGCTGATTTAAATGCAGTATCAGTATTAATCCTTTTCTTCTGAATTTGATACATTTTTATTAATTGTGGAAAAAATGCCAAGGACATAGCATTTTTTGTGTATTTATTTCAATTAATGTCTTCTTATTATTGTATTATTTTAGTGCCTTCATCTTAATTTCTTCTAAAGGTGCAAATAAATTTTTAAAGCATTTTTAAAAGTAAAAGCTTTGATGAGCTAGGAAGAGACAAGATACGCAACCAGTTGGGTTACTCTGCATTTTCTGGAGTTTGTTTTCATAATATGCTGATGGAATATATATATTTCTTGAAAGTTAATGATCAGATTTTGCATCTTTTTTTAGCATCTTTACTTTAGCACTTATTGTGATATCTTTGTAGCATGGAATACTTGTGAGAGTAAACTGCTGTGAGCAGCATTCCTACTTTGCAGCCACTACAGTGGCTGTAGTTCTTGAATGACTGTTAGGACAGTCAAAATATCAAATGTACATAGAGAAATAAAAAAATAGGAGAGATTAAATACTGTAGGGTTCTTGTGCTTGGAAAAGGGGAATAGAATGGCAGTAGGAATAAAGGGCTGTCAAATTCTGAGTGACATGGAGATGGTGGATAAAGGGCAATTATTTACTTATGTTGATTGTATTACCATAATCAGGGCTATTTGACTGATCAGATGTGAAGCAAAAGGATGCCATTTCTCACAGTACGTTACTGATTCTGGGATTCATGGTATATTGGTAGTGTTGTGTTTTTGTAAGTTTTGAAAAGCAACTACACATGTTTGGTGAGGGTAAGACTCCACAGGAGCTCTTCTGTTCTCTCCTTCACACCTGTTTTTGGCTGTGGTCAGAAACAGGATACTGGACTTTGACTTTTGATCTAATGCATTACAGCCGTTTTTAACTGCTTTGGGAATCCTGGAAATTAGAACATTTTACCAAAGTAGGTATAGAAATGTATATTCCTTCCATCTTTTCTTTATCTTTTTTGTCCTTAGGATTCGTTTGATTCCTGGCTTTATTGACTCAGAACAGGCAGACTGGATGTTTGAACAACTCCTCCAAGACATACCCTGGGGTCAGCGAACTCACATCAGGCAGGGTAAGGAGTGTGTAGACCAGCTTTTCAGGTCATTCCAAGGTCAGTTCCGTAACAAAGTCTGTGCATTGTTTGTAATTGATTTTATTTTTTGTATTACCACTCCTTCAGATTTCCTTGCAGGTTTTCTGTGCATATCTGAAGAGTACTGCTGTTTATTTTTCAATCTCTATCACCTTGTTACTATTGCCAATTAAATGAAATCTTTCCAAATTAAACTTGCCTGTCATCTCCAGTTTCTTTTCTCGCTCTTTTCTTAAGATTATGTCTGGTCACCATCCCTTCATATAGTCTCCCAGTGATGCTGTAAAAGCTATGCTTTGACGTTTCTGTTGCGAGGTACATTTTTTGCCTCTTTCACTTAAAATCCCAGCAGAGCATGTTCCTTTTTGCCTTGTCTTTGCTTATTAGTTCCGGTATGCAGTAAGAGAAGAGACTGCTATTCTGGATTTGTTCACTAAGGGGCACCTGTTCTAGCTAAATTTTGATTTCAGTCAGGAACGGATGTAAGATAATGTATCAGAGTAACAAGACTGGAAAATGTCTTCGGCATGTGTATTTCTTGGCTTGCAATAACGGTACAGTATAATGGAGAATGTTATCTGTCAAGCATGAGAAATAGTTACCAAGATAGTCTTTTCAGAAGTTGAAAGTATTTTTAACTTTATCCTTATGTTACACCACAGAGCAGGCATGCATTTGGCAAAATATTACTTGTGTCCAACCTTGGTACATTATGCTTCTGTAATGTCCCATTGATGCTACTGTCCTTTCCACTTCACTCTTTCCAGTGGATCCCTCTGCATCTTGCAAGTTATGCCATCATATTGGGCATTGGAACCAGGAGAATGTAAAACAAGCCAGAATTATAAATAAAATCTCAGTTTCATTTTGTCATCTTTAACTCATCCAGTCCTTGCCCTGTCTGGCATAGGGGCAAGAAAATGGATATGGTTTCAAGATTCTGGCAGGATAGTTCCTCCTGCAGAGACAGGCCTGATTTCGAATAATCTCATTCCTTCATATGAGTTCATTATGTAAAGCTGAGGATTTTAAAGGGCTGCTTTTTAGTTTTAGGTGAATGGACAGTCTCTTTTTGATCAAGTTTCTTGGCAGAATTGCATCATCTTTCCATTTTCAAACCCTTTGATAAAGCAACTGAGAAAGTCTTCCTGTTTTTCTTTTTCTCAGAAGTATCTTTTGAGGAACCACGGCTTACATCCTGGTATGGGGAACTTCCTTACACCTACTCCAGGATAACAATGCAGCCAAATCCAAACGTATGTATATGTCTACAGTTTCCTTATATTATTGCCAACATAGAAATCCTTTGCAGAGATCAAGAAACAAGAATTCCCTCTATCCTTTACTCTTATGTAGAGTATCTGTTGACTTTTCATTTGTGATCAGCAACAGATTCTACTGCATTGTGGACAGTTTTATAAAATAAACTTTATGAGTGGTTTGCCTGAGAGGAGCGCGATTTACTTGCTAAATGTTGCCAAAAGAAAGCTATCACTCTAGAGTTTAAAGGTCTGCTTTTGGGTCACTGTAGCTTTGGATGAAACTCTGAATGGCTCTGTGTGACTTACTCCAAGCATCTTTATATGGGAGGTTGTAGTGCACACAGTCATACTGAGTTTTTTGTTGTAAAGATACAATAATATCAATTACTGAAATGGTTACTTTCAGAAACACTTAGACTCAGTACTGCTTAAATGAGAATTTGGACATATTTTGATTCCTGTGTGGATGCTATGAAATTCACACATGCAACCAGTCTGCTCAGCACTCCAGATTGTATGAGGTAATTTCCCACGCTGTTTTGGAAGAGTTAAAAGCCTTCTGAGTGACAGAGTGATGTTTTGTTCCTGCTTGTGCACTCTTCCTCTCTCTCTCTCTCCTTCTCTTCCTCTGTCTCTCTGTCTTCCAGCCTGTTGTCCCATCAGCCTGTCTTCTGGTATTGCTTTGTTTGAAATTTCCATGGCATTAGGCTACAGTGTTCTGAACCATAAATCAGGTGTCACGTAGCATGAGAGAAAAGTGTCTCAAGTCCCAGAACTTCTGCCAAAGCAGGGTATCTCCTAGCAGAGCTCACTTTGGGAAAAGTTGGAAAGACGTTATTTAACATGATGAATTGTGAAGATTTTGTAGTCTCAAAAATACTGTAGTTAAAAATTATAACGTATGCATCTTGTGGTGGGAAAATAGGCATTTTTTTTGGTACTCATTTGTGAAATACTAGTTTAAATGGACTTTTCTGGAAGCTGAGTGGCTTTAGGGATTGGAACTGCCCCCACAAAATCATTCTGTTGTATACTAATGACTTAAATCCTGTTCAGAACTGCCTGGTGTGGAAGCCATTGCTGCTCAGAGGTTGGATAGAGCCCATATACCCTGAATTCACAGTTTCATCTCAGTTCGCAGAAAGATCAGAGTTAGCACTCATTGGACCACTGGCTTGTTTTTCTCATCTAAGGCCTAAATTGGTCACACATGCTGATTCTGTCTTTTAGCCCTGAATAATTTATCTGTTTGCCAAGAGAAAGAAACTCAAACAGAAAGTTAGGTGCACTGGGAAACTTGCATAGCTGGGAGCCAGTCCTTCCCTAGCTGTCCACAGGCAGATAGATACATGGGTAGACTGCACGTGGACACTGACATTTCACTTGGCTTTGTATATGGCAGTACCTGAAGCTAGAAGAAGCAGTGGATGGTATAAAAAGCACAGTCCTTCTCAGTAGAAAGGGGTTTCTATCACAAAAGTGTCTTGAGTGTAATGTAATTTAGTGCACAGCTTGGCCAAAACCAATTACTGCCTTAAACACTTGATCTGTAGGAGTAATTAGCTTTGTGTGCCTCCTTTTTTTGTTTGGTAGGAGTTGGTGTGATTATGGCATCGCTAGATTTAATCCAGTGCTCATGCCTAAATGAATTTTGGTATTAGAAAATGTTTCTTTGTAAGCAGTAATACAGTTGGTGACACAGTAATCTTTCAACAAAATTACTTCCACTGCAGCAGGTTTTTAGTGGGGTTTCCAGTACAAAATTCACTATATGGTAACATTTTTAGTAATACATACTTCTGTGATAGGAATTGAAGAAATCTGGTCCTAGTTGGTCACTGAAAAATGCTTTCAGTAATTCCTGTTGTACTCCTATGCACATTCAGGCAGCCCAATTGCAAGAAAACTCCTTTTCAGGTGGTATTACTGATTTCCCTACATTTCCCATAGCTGCAAGCTATGTTTATATATGATTAATTATTCACATGATGCTTAATACTTGAAGGAGTGACTTAGTTAGAAATACTCCAGTAGAGAAAGATGGTATGTTGCGGCTCCTGCAGTGTGACCAGTAAGTTAAATGCACCTTAAATATGGGTAAGCTTGGAAAGAAGGAAGTGCAGCCTTGATTATTAGAGGTGGATACTAGAAAATAGTTCCTGCTGTCTGTTGCTTCTTTTGCCAGTGATGCACTGGGAGATTTGGAATCAGTTTCCTATCCTCTCTTGATCTCTGTTTCTGCTTATATAATGGGCAAAAATTCTGGCCTACATTCCTTTGGGGTTTTTTTTCTTTATATACTTGTGTAGTTCTTAAAAGCATTCTGACAGATGAAAGACATGATGTAAGTTTATAACATTAAATAATTGGACTGAGTTGTAATGGTATGTGCAGAGCTGCCCTGGGCTGTGGAGTCAGCAAGATGTTAGCAAAGGGAAGGATGAAATTCCAGCCAGTCACATTGGTTTTGTGACCCACTGGAAAGTTACAGTGTTGGAGTCAAAACCCCAGGAGGTGATGAGTTGAGCTCAACAAGCTGTGCTGACAGAGCGGGGACAGGGGGCCACATTAGGCCAACTGCCTCCTCTTGTTCTCTGTCAACAGCTGCAGGCAATTGAGAGCATATCATTTAGTCCCTGATTGCCTGCATTAGTGTGAAAGGCAGCCTGGCTTCACTGTTTCAAGAGATGATTTGGTATTGAGCGATGGGTAACGTATGCATATTTCACAGAAAGCCCGTTCCTCCGCTTTGCTAAAAACATAATCAGAATTGTGGTGAGTCATTTGTTTGATTTTAAGTTTATTGTGATTCAAGTGCAGTATATTTTGTTCCTTAGTAGTTTTCACCCTGTGTGTTATGTTACCTGCCGCTGGCCTGCTTTCATTGCATTTACCCTTCCCCTCTGCACTGACTGCAGTGGCATCCTCTGCTGACCGTGCTGAAGGAGCGCATTGAGGAGTTCACTGGCTACACCTTCAACTCTCTTCTCTGCAACCTCTACCGAAATGAGAAGGATAGTGTGGACTGGCACAGTGATGATGAACCATCGCTGGGAAAAAACCCCACCATTGCCTCACTCAGCTTTGGTGCTACTCGGACCTTTGAGATGAGGAAGAAACCTTCTCCTGTGAGTGTTTATATCACACTTAGACAGTCTTACAGCTACTAATATGTTTATTATTTGCCCCCTGTTTAGAGAACTTAATTACAAAAGTTTTTCACAGTTAATAATGAAAGCAGAACTTGTAAAGTTCTGTGGAATAAACGTACGGATCACGAAATGCATCGCGTGGAACTTGAAATCCTGAGGATGGGGATAGGACCACTCTAATAGTGTGCTGTAGTGAAACTGTGACCTGGGCACCTTTCTGCCTGAATAAGGGTGTTTCCCGGTACTTAAAATGAGATCAGTGATGCTGAAAGTCAACTTATTCTGTGCAAGTGAGTCAAAGAGTTGGTACCATTTTCTTAAACTCAGGCCAAAGTTATGTAAAGCATAATGTAGGATGAAGAGTAGTTCTGACTGCTCTTTAACAATGTTTGTGTTTTGATGCGTGCGTTCAGATTGAGGGACAGTGAACAAAGGGAAGAAGCTCATTTCTTTTCCATCAAATACCATGGAAACTGTTGCATCATCCTTCACAGACTAAACAGAGATCCTTTACTTTGATAAGGAGGCATGCGTGGAATGTCATTTCAGGAGATAGTTTGTGATTCAGTAGTGAATGCTTTTTGTAGATAAAATGCTGTACTTTGGAATGCTGTGTTTACAAGCCAACTTAAACTTGGCAGTTTGTATTTATCCAAGTAAAGGATTTTACCTTATTTTAGGATCTCCTTTTCAGATGTATTTTCTGCTTGTGTAGTCTTTGAGAACTTCGGGAAGAAGTTTGCTGTCTGCTTATGTTGCTATTTATTATGAATAAGTAATACAGAAAGCAGAGGTGATGATTATCAGCCTACTGGAAAACTGTGCTGACATACTGAAATCTCCCCATCAAGAGTCGTTGGGTCACCTAGTCGTGAACAGCAAAGGTCAGAAATTGAATCTCAAAACAAATAAATAGTTTGTATTTTTCACCAGTTCTCTAATTTGTAAATTCTTTGTTGTCTGAAGTGAGTGTAATATTGGTTCCTGAGTATGAGATTACGTAACTAGTGCATTATGTCAGTGGGCATACCGTGAGTAAGTATCCTTGATGCTGCGTTGATGACAAAATGTCAGCTGGAAAGTTCATTCTTCTAGGAAACTGTGAACGGTACTTGGATTCATTTCTAGAAGTGCCCATGTTCCCCATCAATGGATCAGAATAAAAGCCATTTAGATTTCAGTATAAACTTTGCAGGTTCCCTCTTAAAAATCAATCTGAGTTCTTGAATAAGATGTCTTTTTTTTCTATTTTCTGCAAAGACCCCACAATGAACAAAGGGGGAAGTTCAGTCTGTGCCATTCATAGTCGGCCACCTTCTTTCATCTGTACTGTACAGTCTCTTCCCTTTTCTTCCTGACACAGATGATTTTCTATAGATGTATTCCTCAAGCTGTCCTCATTTTTCTTCAGCACCTTTGACAGGATATTTCTGACTAGCTGAATCTTGCTATCTGTGAAGTGTATTCCTTTTGCAAGTGCAACATGCCTGTTTCTGAGGTAGAATCCCCATGTGTAGTGATCTTCAAATAAGTTGCTATTAAGTACATCCTGTGTCTAAGGGAACTCATGCTTAATAATTACATGGCACACATTACGTATTTTTTGCACGTTCTCAAAGCCTGCAGTTTTCTGAGAGCATCCTGTGACAGCACATGCTTTGCCAAGTGGGAGTTTCAAGAGGCTTTAATGGAAATTACAACGTTTCAGGCTGTACCACCAAATAAGTAATTTTCATACTCTATTGTACTGTAGCATTCTCTCATTAAGAGAAAGTTAAAACTGATTGTAGATATTTGAAGTTTGAACATTACTTTGTTCAAAAGCAAGATATAGGAAGAGCAATGTAGTCTAGGGAAAAGGAATTCAGATTAGCAGTCATCACAGACACTCAGGCTCTCCCTGGTTTGTAATCTGCCAGTATCAGTACATTGGGTTTTCCGGAGTTAGCCTTCATTGAGGAGGGAAAGAGAAAGTAAATACTTTTCCTCCCATAATTAAGCCTCTTTGAAGGCCAACATTCTACTATTTCAGATTCTAGGATTTCAAAGGCCTCTATTTCCCTCTGTTCTTGTAGATCCTTTTAAGTATTTTGAACTGAAAGATGTAATGAACATACTAGTTGCCTGTGTGGAATCATGTACTGTTACAAAACAGTATGTACCACAAGTGAGGTCACATCTTGAAGGGTTACTGAAGAGTACTAGATAAGAGCCTACAGAGACTTCACTTCGTGTTGGTATCTCTACAAATATTTTCCAGATTATATCTTGAAATGTGATTGAACTTACTAGTGAATAAAATCCCATTTCTCTAGCTGAAAAGACAACCAGTAGTGTTGGTGAGTTTTTTCTTTTGTGCATGTTTGTGTGAATTTCAACATTTGTCTGGTAGTGATTTGGTAGCATTTACATAAGCCACTCTGAAACAGTCGCACAATGAAATATTTTTTTCCTTGGCAAAAATTAAACAACAAAAAAAGTTACTGAGGTGCAAGTGGTATTTTTTTTTCCTGAAAATTGTTCTAGAGTGAGGGGAAGGAAAAGTTCAGTCAAGTGGTATTTTTTTTTCTTGAAAATTGTTCTAGAGTGAGGGGAAGGAAAAGTTCAGTCCTGTTTTTCTTTTTTGATGAGTACTGTACTGGATGAGTAAGTGTTCGTCATATAATAGAGGGTAAAGGAGTGTAGAGACATGCACAGCCTATTGAATCTGCTTAAACAAGCATAATAATTCTTACTGGGTTTTCAGCCCAGTGCATGTAAAAAAAGCTAAAAATACATTTCAGGTGTAAATTCCCCCCTGGAATAAGGATACTTTTCATGGGAATTAACATGGTGTCAGAAACTTTTATTTTTTCTGCTGGGATTTTTTGTTTTAAGCATTCATTCTTCTAAATATGGCCTTTTCTGTTTATTTGGACCAGTTATGTGGTTGTAGCTGATATTTTTCCTTTACTTTAAATGGTTTCTAGGTTTTTCTGAATGCCTACTTGATAGTTCAAAGTCCACAGTGGTCTGGTTTCTTCTAGTTCCAGTAAATTACTTTTACTTTCCTCTTGCTTTCTTGTTGTAGCTCCTGCCTACACCGAAACCAGGAGACAAATGCTTTGCTTTAGAGCTGTGATTCATGCACAGTTCACACACAGCTACTGGTTTAGTCAACAAGTCCTCTCATGCTTGTCTACAGTGTGTCACCACTGCAGCACTGTGACCTGCTCCCATTCTCCACACAGCCTCAAGCCCTCAGTCCCACTTGTACATGACTTCATCCTCCTGCTCGAGAGGAATTGATTCCACTCTCTTAGATGGGTCTTTCCAATAGAGCCTCACTACCATTTTTCCTGTTGTCATTGCTCAACTCTGAGACCATACCAGGCTATCTGATTAGGTCCTCCTGGAAGCTGAGTGTGAAATGTTAGTTCAGCAGTGGAGGGTGGTACTTAAAGTCCCATTAAGCTCCCACATTCCACTGGGAGGTGCTCTGTGGCAGAGGTCTGGGTGCCATAAGGACCATCTGGGTGCCGTTGCCCAGTGAACTGCTGTGTGAACTGTGGAAGGAGTTAGAACGCCAGCTGCCAGCTTGCTCTTTTTCCATCTGTAACCAAGGAAACTGATGGGTGCTGGAAAGAGAGGGAGCTTCACGTGTGTGTTAGATAATAGCAGGATGTTCATGATGTTCTAAGAATCAGCCTTCATATGGGTCTGTCCTTCAAATGAATCACTTAAGTACAATCTTTTTCTTCTGTCCTTGAGTAACTGTTCTAGCAGCAGGTAAAGATCACCTAGTACTTTTGGAAACAGGCCTGACAGGCCTATTTGAAGATGAATGTGGGACTATGTGGAGCACAGTAGAAAGAGATTCAGATCAGGATGAGGAGAATTGAACTTTTACATTGGCATGAAGGAGGCTTGCAGACAGCCTGGCTGCAGAGGAGGAGGAGGTATTGTCCACCAGTGTTGGCAGAACTTGAGAAGCTATAGACAAGCAGAGAGGAAGATGGGAGTGCTTTAGAGCTATCTCACTTGCAGTCTGCTAGGTCAGCTGCAGAAAGACCAAGGAAGTTTAAGGATAGGCCTGTGGAGGCAGGCAGATGTATTATGTGAGGAAAGGGCAATATAACTGATATTCATTATTGCTAAACACATAAAGAAGAGAACCACAGTGAGGATTTTGTCAGAGATAGAATAAACTGGTAAAAATGCAGAAGTACTGATAGATGAGACTACTTTGTTGTGAAGGAGAGTGTTTACACAGCTGGTGGCAGAGGAGTAAACTGGAAAAGAGGGATACAAGCAAGATGAAGTCTGAAAAACAGGAGATCTTTAAGTTTTGTAAGGATAATTCTCTTGGTAATAGGTAAATAGGTGAAGCAGAAGAACTAGAAGCCAGCGTTCTCCATGCTAACTTTAGCCATTGAAAATTATTTTGCATCATTTGCCTGTATAACTGCATTATTATTTATACTTTTTTCTGCAGGGTGTTTCTGTTTGCTTTTCCTTATAATAGAAGAAGCTTTCACACTATCCAGAACCCATTTCCTACTACTATAGCAGTAAACTTTCCTGAGACTTAAGAAACAAACTTGGGTGATGATTTATACTAGATCTTTTCTCTTTTTTATTTTGATACCATTTTAAGAAAACAACCTTGATGGAATCCAGGAGTACTTACAGATTTTGTATTCACAGCTTCACATCAAATCACACTGAGCTTTCCTCACTTATTAACTGTAGTTACGGTAGTTACTGTACTTGGACAGTGTAAAGCTTGATTGTATTATGTGGAACTCAAGATTATGAAAATTCTAGTGTACTAAAAACCAGAACAGTTGCTTTACTATTCCTGTTCTTGTAAGCAGTTGGTTTTGTCATACACATACAGAGTTACAAAGTGAATTTATACAAGTTACCTGATGCACTCCTTTAGATGTTTGTTACCAGAAAATCTTTTCTGGCTTACATGTCAAAAATAAATTTCCTTCATAAACTTCTTGACCTCTGAAACTCAACTGAGTTTTCTGTATGTCATCAGCTCTAGAGATAAAAGCTCTTAAATGAGCTTTGGTTGACACTGTTAGTAATGACATGTAAGAAGGTAAAAACTTATTGTTCACTGGCTTATCAAAACTAATTGACATAAAAATCTCTTTTTCTAAGTAAAACAAAGCTCAGAGATGCCCCATTTAAAACAGAAAGTAACTGTTGCTTTTACATAGTGACTTTTCTAAGCCAAAAGGATGTTTTCTCCTAAATCATTTATCTTAGCAGAATTCCTTTTTAATCAAGATGAGCAAGAGATAAAAATAAGTCCACTGTTGTCCGTCCACAAAGTGGAATGATGTAATCCTCTGAAATAGAAAATAGCCGTGCAATGATATTTCTCTGCTTTTCATCAGCAGTCATGTTTATAATACCTATTTTTGAAAATTTTTCCTTGTTTTCACTGAAGTTAAGAAAATATTTTTGGCATTACACCTTACTTTTAATAGAATGAGATAAATGGCTAATAATTCTAGAAGCTTAAAAATATGTTTTACATTGTCTTTGCAAAGAATACGTATTACAAGTGTTTCTGAGTGCCTTCAGCTCTCCTTGATTCCAGAGGTTTAGTGAGGTTAATCAGTCACCGGCACAGCCTTGGGCCCTTAGGTATCCCCAAGGAATGTAGAAGTCTGGAGTGGGCAGCCAGTGAGTGCTGGCAGTTTCACCAGCAGTATTGAATAGCCTTGTTCTGTCACACTGGGACTTCTGATCCCAGATGGGAACAGAAAGTGACACTGGTGCAAATAAATAGTCAATTACATCAAGTGATGCTTTTTATTGTCGAGAGCTGATTTGATCCCAATCCAGCTCTTTGGCATTTTAGAAGATTTGCAGTCTTCCTTCTTATCTGCATCTTTTTTATAAACGCACACACTCCCAGTTGTTTTCCTGAAAATCAGACTCTGTTTTAGTCTAGGACATCATTTTCCCAGTAATTGTTACTTTACCTCATTATTTTGAGCTTTTAAAAAGACAAACCTGTAATCAAGTTGTGGCACTGCACAGTTAAGCTTCAAGGAACTTAGTTAAAATTTTTGAAAATGTGAGCTTTGTAAAAGCATTAAAATGTGTTGGATGAGAACTGTTGGGTCTTTCTGATGGTTCTCAAAAGACTATGTCTGCGTTTTTATGACCAATTAGTGTTTTCTTTTAACTGTTGGGTTTGTGCGGAGTCCTGTTAGTTTTCCTGAATGATTCAACATGCGGCTGAAATCTGAAGACCTTGTAACATTAGTTTCTGTTTCAGAAATGTGGGTCTTCTGTCAGTGTGAGGTAGATATACCTGTACCTCAACCTAAATCTTACTGTGATAATTTCATTTTCCCAGTCTCAGGTATCCTATACTGTTTCAAGTTCCTTTGTGATCTGTTTCTGTTACAAGTGACATAAGTTGTGACCTCTCATCTCTTCTGCCCAAGAAGTACAATTTCATTTTACATGACAGTTGTGACAAATGCTACTCTGTTGGTAACAAGCTTTGTGGTCTGGAGTAATTGCTACCTTCAGCTGAGTCTGAAATAATTGAGCATTGTCTTCTCCTAAACACTCAGCAAGTATGATTTTAGGAGTCCACTAACCATTATAAGAAACAGGAAGAGAAAATACTACCTAACTAATTAAAAACTAAAAAATCTGAAGCATTTGTTGTGCAGCTGTCTAAGATGTGTTGTCTTTTACAGGAACACTCATGCTTTAGCAGCTCAGACCTGGTCTTATTATTTTTTCTCATCTCTTCGTAGTAATTGTGTATTTCTGCCTTTTTTTTTTCAAGAACAAATAACTGATTTGGTGATCTCTTTGGAAAAAAAACTAGATTCCGGATGTTTAGTGAGCTTAATCAATCACTGGCAGACTAGAGGTGCTTCTAGAGGCAGTGGTGCAATAGCAAGTACATACTCAGGCTATGTTTGCTATATGCAGTATATTCTGAAAAAGGTTAGCCCTGTACTTGTAGAGTGTAGAGACTGAGAACCTGTCATGCTCTTTATTTTTCAGTGAAGGACACTTATTATCCACTTTACACTTTCAAGCTATCTACGGCTTTCTGTAACTTAAAATACCTCAAGTCCCTTTCCTTTCAATGCTAATTAAAATATTTCTCCAACTCCTCCTCTCCCTAAAATAATCCCTGTATTTTGCAGGTGATTTCATATCTGAAACTTCCCTGAATTCCTCATTTCAGAGAGTTGCTTTCTATTTTTTCCTAGACCGCTTCCTAAGTTAGCAATAGAGATCTATAAAGGATAAAATACATACTGCCAATCTGTATTTGGGGGGCATCCTGGTTTTCCTATTCGCATTTCAATATTAATGAAGTAATCAAAGTGCCAACATTAAGTAGGCCAGATGTTAAATGGAAGTTGTTCAAGGTTTGTAGCATTTCTTTCTGCAGCTATTGAAGGCTAAAATGAGAAAATATTAAAGGATTACACAGAGCATTATAATACCTGCCCATGTGGTGTTCTGGAAGATACTTAATGTCATGCATAGTATGATTTCATGATTTTATTTACTGTCATGATTGACAAAAAAAGAACTGTGTACTCATAATAGACTTCCTTGATCAATTTGACTTAGCAGTGTATTAGTCTGATTTAAAATTGGAAGGGATAGTGCAAAGGAATAGAGAGTTGCTATTCCCAATGATGTGGCATATGCAAGACTAATACTGTGGTGTTACTATGTCCAGTTGCTATATTTGAGCTTTAAAAAAGTTATATATAATCTAAACCAAAAGGTTGCAGATTATTTTCCTTCTATTTTAGCAGTCTGTTTGGCTTATCGATGATACAGTTTGAGACAACTTGTTTTACAAAGCACTGCAGGAAAAGGAGATTTATTTATTTTTTTAGATAGGAAAAGCTCTTCGTCCAGCAGCTAATACAATACCAGCATGTAACATCCAAACCAAGGCAAATCTAGAATAGCAGGAAGATATGTATTTTTGATGAAGTAGTTAACTGTTGGAATCGGGGTGGCTATTGCAGAATGTCTCCACACTGAACTGTTTATTTTAAGAGTGGATGTTTCCCAAAGGTTCTCAGCCTTTCTGAGAATTTTACACTAAATGTAGGAACTTGTTGAACTTTACCTGTACTGTACAGGCAGTGAGATACAATGGCTTCTTTCATCATTAAAATGCTTGACTACTGGACTTTGTATGAAATACAGATACAGAAATGTTTAGTTAGACTTCTTGATCTTATAAGAGCTTCCTCCTCCCCCCTTACAGCTTTTTAAGCTCTGCTGTAGAGGACTGGTTTTCTACCAAATGCACGTACCCACTTCTTCAGTGTCTAATGTTTCTTTTTAGGAAGAGAATGGAGACTATACTTATGTAGAGAGACTAAAAATCCCCCTTGATCACGGGACTCTCTTGATGATGGAAGGAGCTACCCAGGCAGATTGGCAGGTAAGAACTCCCTGATGCTGTTTGTGTGGTTTACTTGCAGTGCAGTTTTTCAAATATGCCCAGGACACTCCCATAAAGTTATGGGACATTCTGCTTCCAGTGACACAGTTGTTTTCCAGGGCATCAGTACTGCTTTCTGCCTCAGAATTTGAAAGCAGCCAAAGAAACAATGGGTTTTCTTTCAAGTGCTAAGTGATGCAATAGGAATCAGCTCAGATTTTCCAGCATTAAAGTTCAGTAATGAAGGCTGCAGCCTGCAGTGGAAAGAGCAAAATCAATATAGGAAGATGGGATATCAAAGTGTTGTAGCTTAATTTAAGAAGTCTACAGTAATATACAAAGACCTTTTGTTTTCAGTGGCTCTGAGCAGTCAGAACCTGATTTTTTTGCCTTACCTAAATGTTTAAAAATGTGAATTAAAAACCATCACAGGAAATGAAGGTTTTATTCATTGTTTGATTACCTGTATTTTAAATGCACAAGGTCATGCTTTTTTTTTTCTTGGTTTTTTTTTTCCCTAATGCCACTTACAGCATCGAGTGCCTAAGGAATATCATTCTAGAGATGCACGGATAAACTTGACCTTTAGGATCATTTATCCAGAATCTGATGGAGTTTGGGAGTGAAGAGGCACTTGGACATCGTTGGGTGTACATCCACAGCAGATCCAGACCCTCAGATTGCCACAGATTTAAAAGAAGCCTTACAGGAACAGAGTTCCATGAAATACATGATGAGGAAAAGAGTCGCTATTATGAAGATCTTTGGCAATCCGAAAGATGCCTGTGTTATATGGACAGAAATTATATGCTGTTACATAGTATTGAATTGCAGGCTTTAAGTTTGTGAAACAACAATGATTGTTCTTAAAAGAACACAAAGCACGTGAAAAATTTGAGAGGTCCCATCTGGAGCAGAAAGATTCAGTGAGCAGATAGTTTTGCCTCTTGTCTTGACTCTCCTTTACCCTTAAGAAGTGATCTTTGAGGTAATGACAAGATGGGTTTCTTTGATGTAAAGCCATCTCTGTGTGTGTATAGCAATGATAAAGCTGCACTTGGTGATGTTCTCAAAGTATTAGTCATTTCATCAAGAGGCAGTGCATTGCTGTTTAGGTTGCAGAGTCTTTTCCAATTAAGCAGTTTCATAATTTAAACAACTACTTGAATTATACCAGTGTCTCCTAGAACGGAGGGCCAAGGCTCTTTTCTGCCACGCACTCTGTGGTCAGACTTTATCCTGTTTATCCATTTAGAGAAAACAAAGCGAAGGCAAGTGACAGAGAGACCTTGGCCATGAGCCTTATCACTCAGGTTGGAGCTGCCCATGGCTTGAGTATTAGCAGTCCTCCATCCCTGCTGGCTTAAAACTGTTACCTCTGTGTCTCAGGCGGGAAAATAGACACAAAGAGATGGGAAAAAAATTACTTGCAGAATTTGCTAATAAATTCTTGGTTTATTTTTTGTTTTTAGCATGACTGAGTTGTGGCTTCCATTGATTTCAGGCGGGAGAGAAAATGTCATCATCTCTAAAAATTAGGCTTGTGCTGCCAGATTTGATACCAGAAGAATTGGTCCAAATATTTGGAACTAAATTATTGCAAATCTACACTAAGTAGACTGTAGTAGCACCAGGCACAATACTCACACTGGTGCTACTGCTCCTAGGTCAATGCATGTTGCATTAAAAAATATTACTTGGAGGGTTATCTCTTGAACCTCTGCTGTTACAGATCAGCAGTCAGCACCTCAGACCTGATTCTAGGTTGACTTGATGGAATTCTTCAAGTTTGCCTACATCAGGTACAACTCACCTGGCGGTGGGAAGCAGTGAGCTGGTGACTGCAGTCTGGATGTTAAGTCAGGTGTGCTGCCTACATGATTAAGTTCTCACTGCAGAGAGGTGGTATCCACCGTACAGGATTAAAACATAGGTTTGGTCTGTCTTCACTGTGCCTGAAGTAGGATCTAAGCACAGGTAAATACTCCACGCCTTGTAACGTTAACTTTGTTAAGCAAATTAATGTACCTCTTTAGGGTAAGAATAAGCTGGTGTTTATAAAATATCTGTCTTTTTTTAGCTGGCATTTGCTGTGGTTTAAATTCTTACTTGATGAGAACAGTCAAGTTATAAATACTCAGTTATGCCTATGTTTTAACGTTATTGATGACCTAAAGGACAGACTGTTGAGCCATTTCAGTCTCTGTGATCTGAAATTGAGCAGAATCATTTTCTAGAATAATTTTCTGTGTGATACTTTCTACACCATACATTAATCTTCTAAAATGAATGAATGTTATTAGAAAACTTGCTCTGTTATCTAATGATGTCTTCACTTTCATCTGAGTTTGTTCAGAAATATGCTTTTGGAGTATATGTAATGTTAATTCCTTGAATTTTAATCTAAGATCTAGGTTCTGTGATGTATCTCCTGGGAACCACTGCTGAAGGAAGCAGACACTTGCTTCCACGTTTACTTTCATTGGGTCACTGGAGCTTTGTGCACATCCCTGTAAGTGTGTCCAGGTTTGGCAGTCCTGTCAGAGAGTGTTTTTCCTTAACCAAGGGACAGTGCTAATTTCTCCAGGTATTCTGAGAAGGCAACACTTTAGCCTTTATCAGTTCATAGAGGCCACATTTATTTTCACTGTGTTAAGAGCTGTCATGATTGAAGAGAGCGTAGGAGATAGGGACAAGTCGGGAACTCTTAAACCCCCCCCAGACCTCAGCCTATGGAAATTGCAACTCATTTGAATTCAATGAATCTATGGCACATAACTAATGGTAGGCCCTGGAGGCTGATACTGTTGTGGAAGACCAGTTTTTCACTTCCTTTCTTGGTTTCAGTTTGTAATGTTTGCAAATTATAGTTTAGTTTCTTTACTTCCTTTGATTTGGGAGAAGACCAAGTTTTCCTTCCCAACAATAAAATGATTTATAAGATAAATGCTTTATCCCACAGAGCTCTGTTCTGTGATACCTTTTTGTTGCTGGAGTCTGCTATGTTCTGCTCTCTCTCATGTGTCAAGTGTGCTGTATCCAAATCTGGTTGACAGTGGGGAGAAGGCATACAGCATCATTCCTCCCGGTGTCCTGAGTGTCCTGGCTGTAAGGGGAACAGTTGGCCTAGAGGTCAGGTTTCTTTGTCAGCTGGGAACTTGTGGGTCCTTCCTTCCTCCCCCCACCTCCTCCCTAAAAAAGTCACCTAGCCAGGTGGTAGCAGATTGCAACATCCTGCCTGCCAGAACAGCAGGAAATGGCTTTGAGCAGAGGAGATTCCAGCCCACATCTCCTCAGGAGGTCTTTCTGCAGGGATGTTTTTCCTGTAGGTAGAAATTTGTTCCTGAATGCTGAGACACTCTTGCAATTTTCAAAATGTATATGTGCAAAAGTGAGATTTGAGAAGTCTTGAGCCTGGTGGTGTTCCCACAGTACCTAAAGATTTTTCACTAGAGAACAGGGCAACATGAACATTTCTTGTTTACTGTTCAGCAGTTTCTGCTGTTGGAGTCAGGTGCAGAGGGCAGCATATTTAGAATGCTAAATACTCAGTTAGGTTCCATTCTTTAACTTAAAGATAGGTGGAGGAACCTTTCCCCTAGTAACATGGATTTGAAAACAATATTTCTGAAAATGCCACCCAAGACTTATTTTCCAGTTATAAAGTTTCCTTTCTTCCCAGGACTGTTTTCGCAGTACAATATTCTCAACCAGAAAGTTTTAGAAAAATGATTTAAACTCAGAATACATTAAGTTAAAGTAAAATATATAGTTTATACATATGGAGGATTTGAGGGCAGGGAAGTTGCTTGGGGGTTTTGGTTTTGCTGTTATTACCAGACTCTGTTCATGTGAGGGACTGCAGTGATACTAAGAGCTGCTTTGCCTACAGAGCACCTCTGAATTTTATTTTCCATATTCCTTGTATTCCTGTGTCTCACAAACTACCTTTTGGAGCCTTTTCCTCTCCCCTCTCCCTTTCATTGTCATTTGTTCCTATTTAGTTACATCTCATATGCTCCCTGCTGCAGGTGTGATTATTTTTTTATGTAGAAGATATAAACTGTGAGCTTACTCTTTTCCTGTTTCTTAGAAACATAGAATGTTTGGGGTCGGAAGGGACCTTAAAGATTTCAGCAGAGTATGTGTGTCTCTTCCAAGAAAAGCTCAAAAACTGCATTCCTTTGAACTGTTCATTGTCTGTGGCTTTCAAGCAGAGGGGAGTCTACTAGTAACCCCAATTAAGATTCCCTTTTCCAAAACAGCCGTGACCTTTTCCAAAATGGCCCTAGGAATTGATGGTAAGGAGAGGACGAATGGAAGCTGTCTTTGGTAAGGATGGATGGTGGCCTGCCTCCATGAGGGAACATGCAGGATGGAACTGTTCTGAAAAAACCCACAACTTGTTCCAGCACAAACTCTTGATGAGATTGGAGTGTATCTGACTGAATACTGCACTGTTGGGCCACACTGGGTTGATCTGAGTACACACCATTTAAAATCAATAACAAAGTTCTGTCATTTCTCTGCCCCGTGTTTCCTTTTTTTTTTTTTGGTGAAAAGAACTCTAAGATTTTCAGTTTTGATTAACTTTAAAGTTGCAGATAGTTTTATTCCTTCTGTGTCAGATTAATTCTAGCTGTATATTTTCCACTTGTCACGTTGGGCTTAGTATAGTACATATAGTAATATATAGCTAGAATAGTAATGTGGAAGGAGACAGGGTGCCAGGAAGGGGTTAAGAAATCAGAATTTTCATACAGTAGTATTGGCAAAGTAGAGAGGACTGTTTTTCTGGGGTTTGGGATAGAAGAACGTGCGTATGATGGCTGCTGCAAATCTGTAACGCCTCCTCCTCAAGTGCTGCTACTATTGCCATAGCTAAAAGGCATTTAACACCCACTTTGCCTTTTCTGGTCATAAACCTTTTCAGAGTGGATATGAAAGCTGCCTCACTATGTTTTGTTTTCAAGGTGCTTCTTTTCCATCCTTGAGGTTTCCATAGCAACCTGGAACATTTGTTTAAATTGGAGCTCCCTGGCCTGTCCTCCCTGTGCGTAACTTCTGCTGAGATCTTGCAGGTATCATCTCTTCTTGGCACACCTGAGAGTGACTGGTGAGGGTTACAGAGGGGCTCAGCAGCAGTTGGCCACGAGAGTGTTTTCTCCCGTGTTGCCCTATTTAATTTACCTCATTCTTATTCTGTGTAGCATTCAGTACAGCTTTGTGGAGTTATTACAAACTCCCTTGAAGCTGGCAGGTCTTTGGTGGCTCATACTGGAGAGGCACATCTTGGGGGAGCTAGGAGGCCTTGTTCGAAGTAGAGAAAGTAAAAACTGTATTGAAGAATTTTAATCAGAATGTGGAGCAAGGAGGTCTGCTCCATGGCCCCCATTGTTTAATTTAGATTTCACAGCAGAAACAAAAACTTTGTTCTGTACACACAGGAGGTTTTGCTGGCTGAGCAAGACTCAGAGCAGAGTCTTCAAGTCACAGGGGATCATCCTGACAGACAGTGCTCATTGGATCCAGCATGATGCTCAACCAAAAGTTGTTTCTGACTATAGCTGTGTGTGCAGCTGCTTTGCTGGTCACAGAGGGTGATTTTTATTCTGTTGCTCTAGTCCCATGGTGGAGACATCACATAGGTCCACACTGAAGAGTGGGTTGGTTATAGCTGATCTCTGAGCTGCCAGTGCCCTCCACAGCTCCTGGGCACGTGTTTCCAGCAATGCCTATGTGCCAAGGCAGGCTGCCATGCAACCTGCAGTGGCTGATCTTGGGAAGTAAGCTGCCAGAGCATGATCCCTTATAGCAGAAAAGAGCAGAAAACAGGCTACTTGGAGGAACTCACAGGCTAAAAGGAGCCGTGGTGTTGGGTGGGATGGGATTTGTAGCTGTGACTTATCACTGGCCATTGGGTCCACATCATCATTAGGGAGGGCTGCGGGAAGGCTTTTTGCCCTGAAGAGCTTCTGATGCAGACAGCAGAAGATAAAGCAGGAGTGAGCAGAGACGTGATTTGCCAGAGGGTGTACTGGCCTAGATACATAACCCACAGTCCCAGCCTGGTGCTGGGTTTGTTAGGCTGCAGAATTTACATGGTTCCCAGTTCTTTCTCCCCCGTCTTGCTTTCTGGAGGCAGGTCCATGCTGGATTTCTGCACTGTGCCGAGGAGAAGACAGCCTGGCTGACCGGCACATCCATGCCTTTAGCTTGAGTTATCTGGGGGGGCTTGGAAAGGAGGGGCCACAAGATGCAGACTGCTCAATTTTTTGGAAGAAGCAAGGGCTGGTAGTGCAAGAGGGATTTAAAATTGCCTGGTGGTGTTTTCTGTTGGGAAGCAGTGAATGGCTGCAGGCTGAGCATGGCCAGGATGCAGCACTGGTACCCACTCAACCCTCCCCTGCTCAGGGGAGGGGAGGCAGCAGGCACATCAGTAGGGCAGCATCTGAAAAACTGTACCTACAGCAACCTTTGCCAATATCTGCGGTTTCCCAGCGTCGATGAAGTCATCACAACTCATAGCAGAGAAGAGATTGCTGCCTGGAACAAGCTGACAAGCCAGCCTGAAGAAATCCTCCCAGGCCTCAGAGCAAGGAGAGCGATGGAGTGAGGGAGTGCAGGTTGGATGCAGAACGTGGCAACTTGGTGCTGCAGCAGCCTGAGCATTGGCTGCTTCTCTGTAACTTCCCTATATTTTGAACTGATCATTTTTTCCTTTGGTGACCTCACCAGTTATCTCCTGGCTTCACTTCCCTTGCAGAGACTAAAGTGGCTCTATTTTACATTAGAAAAGCTGCTTCCTAGTGTTAAACAGAGCATTACTCAGCTTTGGGTGCTATAGGCTTTCATCTGACAGGGGTGAGGTTACACTTTTTTTTCTTTCTGCCTGTCAGCAATAGCACCACTCTGGCTCCCCTCTGCAAGGCAAGGCTTCAGTTGCTGAACCATCACTCAGCAATTTACTACTGTGGTTGTTGCAATTTTTGTCCAAAGTCCCCAAAAGGTTTAGAGACTGAGTAAAAAAGTCTCCAGGATTAGGTTACTTGAAGTCTGATAGTTCAGTTGTCAAGAAACTTCTGTTTTAATCTCTAGACTTTAATTGATTTCTGTCTTGATTGCTTACAAATAGGCTTAAAAAGAGAGGAAAAAATTAAATTTATTCTGCTGAGATATGTGCATGCTGTGCAGTGATTTTAGTTGCAGAAGAAAATGGAAGATAAAATCCATCAGAAGCACTAAGATCTGATTTATGGTACTGACTTAAGATTTTTAGTCTTGACACATGTAGATTTTCCTTTTGCCCAGCCTTCAAAGCATCTAGAGCCTATGTGACCATGGTCTCTGCTGGTCAGGCCTCCCCCCCAGTTTTGAGATGTGTAGTCAGTTTTGTCCAAATCTGAGAGAGGATGGGAAGTCTCAGAAATAATTCAATTTCTTCAGCTCTTGCAAAACTCAGCAGTTGGGTACAGAAGAGAAACCAAGACAAGCACTCTGTGCTCTGACAGGTGTGGGTTAGGCTGAGGATCCCTGACAAGGAGTGGGAGAATCCTCCTCTCCTCGCTGTCTTGCTGGTAGTATTTCTCCTCCTTCAGCTGACACACTGCCCAGGAGGCAGCACAGCATGCCTGGCCGTCGGCAATGTCACAGCCACCAGCTGGAGTGTGGACCATGTGGAAGGTTGGAAACTCTGAGGGTTCATCAGCAATGTTCTCCCCTGCACACAAAAAGGGTTTTTATTTTTTCTAAAATTCTTAAATAATTTTGTGGGACAAAACATTTCTTCCAGGTTTTGAACTCAGGACAGAAAGTACTGGACTAGAAATACTTATTTCTGCGCTGCTTAATGGATAGTATCACAGTAGCAGCTAGACACGGTAATACATCAACAGTTAAAGAAGGTTAGAGGTTAATTTTACTCCAAGTGGCAGCAGGTTTAACCAGCAGAAATATTCAAAGCAGTTAGTCACCTAATTTGTTTAAAGTATAGTTTCGTTCTTTAAAGAGCTGAGTTTTCTGCAATCACTTGTCTCCAGTTGTCTGAACCGCACTTTTATCTTGTATCCTTGTAGCACCCTGTCCTGATACATTAGTAACAGTGCTGGGAAAAGCTACCATCCCTCCTGATGCCTGTCGGGCCAAACAAGGGAAATTTAATGTAGCAATTTTTGTCGGGGAATACTTTGCAGCTCTCTTTCAAAACAAAGACTTTTGTTACTACATTTCCTGTTAGTGGTGTGGTGACAGCCAAATGCTGTTAACTTGTGAGGTGCTACTGAAACACACTGACTTTTCACTTCAGCTATCACTTTACAATTAAAACAGTTCTGTATAGAGAATAAAATAATACATTTCTGTGAGAAGCATTAATACATTCAAACATTTTAGTTAGTACTTTGTCTGAATGGCATTGGGCAGAAGCTTTATGGGATTTATTGCAGCTTCTAAAAAGTCAGGCAAGACTGAAACTGAGATATTTGAGGGGGTAGGAGCTTTGAATACACATACTTTGTATTAACTGTGTTGTATCATGAGCTTTTCACAAGTATTGACGAGTGTTTGTCACAACCTATAGTCGTAGTATGGGTATGTCCTCTTCTTTCAGCGCTGGCTGCTGAGCCGGAAGGAAATGGTCCCACTCCCGGACCTGGTCACAGGCGAGTCCCCAGCTGGTGAGAGGCACTGTCGGGGATGGGGAACACCATGATGTCCCTGTGCAAGGAAGCATTGCTGAGCTGGTGGGTCTGGGTCTGCTAAAATTGTAGTGGCTGGAACTGAGGAAGAGGGAACAGGAAACACAGCAGAGACAGGGAAGAGGAGGAGCTGGGCTTCAAGGATGGACTGAGGAGGATCGTGCCATGAAGGTATCTGTAAAGAGAAAAAGTTGGGAATCAATAACTTGGCTGAATTTCCTACTCATTACTTTAGGCTAATTTGGAAAGAAATTTTTCAGCTAAAATGGCCAAGGTACATATAAAAATTAGATATATAAAAAAGAGAAAAACCTTTTAAAATGTTATTTTGCTCAGAGAATTATCTTGAAACTTCAATAAGTGGCAAGATGATACCATTTCTGTGTCAGACTGCCTAGGGAGATGTAAAAATCCTTCCATGCACCTGTAGTTCATGCATTAAAACATCCAGTTTGAAACATCCCTCGGAGAACTTGCCCATCCTAGCAAATCCCTGGTACACTGGGAAGAGCTTTTACATGGAAGTAGCTTTAGTAGAAATAATTTTTCACAAGCTGCCTGCAAAGATCCCAGCAGGGACCTGAGCCTCCTGCTGCCACTCATGGGTACCTTGCTGAATGTATCTGCTCTCCAAGATATGGTAAGTGCTGTCAGGGAGTTTTCTCACCCCTCATTACCTGAGGCTTCCCCCTCATCCCATGCTGTAGGGTACAAAAATCATGGTGCTCAGGGTGTGAAGGAGAACCCTGGCCTGCAGGAGGCTGGAAGCAGAGTGTGCTGCAGAACAAGCCAAATCTTGTCTTGCCTACGGAAATTTCCAATCCTGCAGCTGAGGCCCTGCCAACGCCTGCCTGCTGCAGAGGGGAGACAGGCTTATTCCTCACCTATGCTGCTGGCTGCAGGGCTCCCCACAGCTGCCCCCAGATGCTGCCAGGCAGGATGACTCTTTACATAGCCCAGGGAATGCAAGGTGCAATTTCAAGTTTAAATCAAATGTGCATGTGTGCATGCAGACAAAGAGACAGGAAGACTCACTTTTAGAGGTAGCTTGTATTGGCTGCCTGTTTATTTGGTGTATCCTTTCCAGTTTGTAAGCCAGTATCTGTTAGACTGCAGTTATCTGAATGTTTTTATTACTATTTTAAAAATGGTTGTTTCAGGGCGTGAAATGTAGTGGAGAGGTAACAGCAACTCCTTCCTATGTCCTGACGGAAATGAATTCAACGAGTAGGACGCTGAGTGGAGATGTGCACAGCAAGGTGTGATGGCACAGCAGTATGGCTGGAAATGCCACCTGCCAGGACAGCAAGAGGCAGCTTTTACTCTCAAGTATGTTTTGAGGATATTTGAAACCTGTGTGCTGGGGATGGACTAAAGCATCCTGCTGGGAAGCAGCTTATGCTGCTGGCTCTCAAGGGGCCCCATCAACTCTGACAGCAGGGTTACTGCTCCATTTTGGGACATAAACTGTGGTGTTCGGGGTATTCACACTGGGATTGCCCAGCTACAGGTGGTTATCTCCCTCCATCCTCTTTTTAATCTTTCCCTTCTGTGGCATTCAATCTGATAGTCAGCAAGAGGAATAATAATTAATAGGCTGTGTGTGTTTTCTATCATCACATTGTTAAACGAACGAACAGATGACAAACTAATTTCCATAGTGCTGTTTCAGCAGTGCTACTTGTTTCTTCTCCTGTGAAACTGGAGTTCGAACTTCCCAAGGCCCCAAAAACACATTTGAAGTGTTCTCAGCTGTGAGTAAAGATTCCCTCCAGCCCCTGTGCAGTGTGCTGGTGTACAAAGTGACTTCAACACTGTACTATGCAGGACCTGATGATCCATGTGGCAGAGAGTGTCTGTAATCTATACCATGCGGTCACATTTCAATACCGGGAGCCACTGAGATTGAAGTCATGATTTAAACCACTGGAGTAAATATAGTTTTTACATTAGAGTGTTGCAGATCTAACTTGGGGGATTATGTCACAGGATATTTTTTCTGAATTGTCTCAAATAAAATCTTCAAGGCCTCCCGGTTATTACCATGGTGATCTTGCTCCAACTCAGCACTGAAATTTCCCAGAGCATTTTATAATCATATTTGTGAGGGATCAAATGTTTGCTCTACTTGAGTTTGCCTTCATACTGAACTTTCTGCAGGAAACCAGACAGGCAGTTGGGACTGGGGACACGTGTTGAATTTCAGATATCAAGTCAACCAGCCTTTTTTCGGTTGAACTTTGGATCCTTTTGGGCTGGAGCAGATTAAATTTACCTTGCTTCAAATGAATGCGAGATGCTTTTCTGACAGAACAAGGCTCCTGTGTCATCTCATTTCTGCAGGATACACATACTCAGCCCCAGAAGGCCTCCAAACTGGTCATCAGGCTTGTCTTCTTGGAGAGCTGTACTGAGGAAACAGTTTGGCCCTCACCGTGCTGCAGAATCAAGTTGTGAGGAATTAAAGCAGTTGTAAATGGAGCTCTTTGAGAGAAAGTTATTGTACGGCAGAAGGGCTGTATGGGCTAAATTTAGCCATTAAAATCAACAGCAAAAACACAGCCTTCTGCAAGCTGGAATGATTCAATTTGACCAAAAAGAAAATTATTCCCTTATTAAGCTAATTGTATCTCCCAACAAAAAAGGCTTCAAACTGAACCTGGCCCTAAAGCTGCCTTGGGGAGCCAGGAAGCCAAGAGATTGCAACCAGGTATTTCATAAAGCCAAGTCTCTTAATGTTTCTTTTACATTGGGAAGGGGCAAAGCAGCCAGCCTTCTGGAAATACACTAGCGAGTGCTTCTGCTCTCTTCTCTCCTTAAACTGTATTCTTGTTTCATTTTGTTCCATTTGAGACAGGGCTGTAATTTACAGGGATTTGTTTCCAGTGCAGGTCCCGAAATATTACCACTGCTAAGGCAGTTTGAAAAGAGGAAGGACCAGTCCTAAGCCTTACCCAAAGACAACTTGAGACTTTCTGATGGTGAATGCACAAAAATAAGGCCATTTCTGTGTGCTGGACTATGGCACAGAATGTATATGCTGTATGTAATCTTTTGGGTTTTTTTCAGACCATTTGTCTTTCTTGGCACAAACAACGTATTTTATGGCAAAATATAACAAACTCGCACTGTCTGCAGCTTGGTCATAGGACTCAGGGCTGCTGGAGTAAGTGTGTGTAGATCCCTCTGTGGTATAACTGGTACTGGCAATGCCCCGAGTACCTCCACACTGCAGTGCTGTGCTGGGTGTGCAACTGAACACTCACTCACTGCTCGGCAAACCCCAGGGTGTTGTCCTTTGTCCCCTTGGCAGCACAGACCAGGATTTCTGATAACGTTGCTAAGCCTCTGCTTCCTTCCCAGTTCCTAACTAAGCTTCAAAAATATCCTCGAGTGGGTGAAGCTATCCTGGAGAATGTTTTTATGGGAATAGTCTAACATTAACCCTGAAGAGGAGACAGACTTACCATTTCAGGCTCTTCCTACTTCATACTTTTCTACTCTGCTTCCCTCCGGGTCCTTTCCTATTCCCATCAAATGTTTTTCTTATGTTGTTGGGTTTTTCCATCACTGAGAGTCCTTGGCACACGCAGCTTTAAAGTGTAGTTCCAGCCGTCACTAATTTGCAAGCCTTTGTTTCAGCTCAGTAATACTTGTATGCCATTTTCTGTCTGAGAATCTGATTCTGCATTCTGAAGAAGAGAGCCCACAGGGGAATGGGAAATGTTAAGATCCCTTCTAAAAGGAAAAAAATGGAGTCACACTGAAGCAGGTGTTTAAGCTGTGTTAGAGGTGGCAGAATTGGGAACAAGATCCCAGAGTCCTGCTTAACTCTCAGCAGCTGATGTATCTTGCCTGGGACCATCCTGTGTGATCTCTCTAGTTTAGATCTGGGTCACTGTACCATTAGGGTATTCAGATTTGGGCTTGACTTGGGGGTTCCTTTAACCATGGGTACGTTACTCTGACGTTGATGATCAGCCGAAAGTTGCTGTGACGAGTCTGTTGGTACTCTTTCACGACCATAGAAATCATGGTATTGATTAAAAACAAATCAGCTGCGAGGTGAGATGCAGAAAGCTGAACTACCGCCCTGGATGTCCGGGACCCAGCTGAAGCTCCACTGGGCGTCGCGAGACAGGAGAGGGATGCCCTGGGGAGAGGGGTCCAGAGCAGGCGGCGGCGCCCGGGGGACAGGAGAGAGCGTAGCCTCGGGTGGGGAGAGGGAACGGGAAGGGGAGATAGGATGGAGGGCGAAGGCTCCTCCGGCGGCTCCCCCGCTTCCAGGGGACGCGGCGGGCGGGGGCGGCGGCGCGGGAACAGCGGTGCGGGGACACGTCAGGCAGGAGGGAGCGCCGGGCTGGCCGCGAGTGGGCTCCGCTGCCGTCTGGGCGTGCTGCCGTGTGAGCATGCTACTGTCTGAGCATGCTCCCGCGGGGCACCGCCGGCTATATAACATTGCCGAGCCCCGGCGGCAGCGGCAGCGGCTCCGCTGAGGCACCCGGGGAACATCGCACTGCGCCTCTGCATCGCCCCGCACCGCGCCTCTTGGCATCGCTCCGCACCGGACGGTACCGCACCGCGCATCTCGGCACCGCGCATCTCGGCACCGCGCATCTCGGCACCGCGCATCTCGGCACCGCGCATCTCGGCACCGCGCTCCGCTCCGCACCGCGCTCCGTATCTCACTGCACCGCACTCCGCTGCCCACCGCGCCTCTCCGGACAGCCCTGCTCCGCGCGGTACCGCACCGCTCCGCGGGGCCCGTCCCTGCCCGGCCGCCGCTGCCCACCGGAGCCCCGGCGCCCGGCACGGCCGAGGCAGCGAGCCCCGCTCCGCCGGCCCCGGCCCCCGCGGCGGGCGCTCCCGCGGGCGGCAGGATGGCCGCGAAGCCGGCCGAGCTGATGGGCATCTGCTCCAGCTACCAGGCGGTGATGCCCCACTTCGTGTGCGTGGCCGAGGAGTTCCCGCCGCCCGCCCGACCCGCCAGGGCCCCCAGGGGCAAACTGCGGCGGCCGCGGCAGTCGCGCTTCAAGACGCAGCCGGTGACTTTCGACGAGATCCAGGAGGTCGAGGAGGAGGGGGTGTCCCCTATGGAGGAGGAGAAAGCCAAGAAGTCTTTCCTGCAGTCGCTGGAGTGTCTGCGGCGGAGCACCCAGAACCTCAGTATCCAGCGGGACCGCCTGGGCAGCTGCCGCCTCCGCAACAGCCTCGACTCCAGCGACTCGGACTCGGCCCTCTGAGGGCAGCGGGGGCCGGCGGGACCCCGCCCGGCTCGGGGGACCTGGCGGGACGCGACCGGCGGCGGCGGCACGGACTGGGCTGCAGTGAGCTGCCCCGCCGCAGGCCCAAGAGCGCCCGAAGCGGGCGGCCGCGTTGGGATGTTTTCTAAGAAAGCGCTTGTATCTTCGTTTCTATTTGATTGTATGAAACTCTCCATTTAAAAGACAAAAAAAAAAATCTTTTCTATTCGTTAGAGGAAAATAGCTGTTTTAGATGCATTGAGCTGCTGGACTTTATATTTATTTTTGCATTTAAACTGTTGACTGCATTAATTTAATATGTTTCTACCTGAATGTCTGTTATCATTTCCATAAAAGAGTAATAAAATCCGATATATTTGCACAGTACTTATCGGGCTGTCCTTGTTTGGGTGATCCAACTGTCCTCCTTCAGCTGCCTTTCCCCTTTGTAGGCTAAAGGGATTTAAATGCTGTCGGTAGCTAGTAGGGAACCAGCAGCGCTTTCCTCGGGGATGCTGCTCGGAGTGGTTTTACAGTCTGTACTGTCAGGTATAAGCTACTGAGACAACAATCAAGTTAGATGGATTTTAGACAACTTTTTTTGCTTCTTTGAGATCTTTATGTTAACCTGAATTGATGGTTAAGGAGTGTTTGTAACTGGTTGTGTCTGAGAACCTTAATGCAACTGGGCAAGCCTCCTGCATTCACAAAAGTGCATATATACTTTCTGTTCTCATCCAAGTTGGTTTTGTCTCTTCTCCCCTTCCCCTTCTGAATTATTTAGTGCTGCAGGTTTAGTAATTGGGTAGAATGTGATTTTATTTACTAGAGCAAGTGGTACTATGTGGTCATGCTTCTCTTGGAGTTAAAAAGCATAGGGATTTTCATTTGTTATAGGACTGAAGTTTCTGTGAGGCTTCTGCATGTGTGTGTGTGTGTGTGTGTGTGTGTGTAGGTGCATGTAAGATTTTCTCTGTCCATGGCATATGTGCTGAGGAGCATCTGAAGCTCTCTGCAGAATGAAAAGCAAATTCCTGGGCTGAAAATATTCTCACTGTATTTTTTCCATTCTCTTGAAATATTCTTGTGCTAATAGTGTGATCCCGTGGGAGCATCTTTCTGCAGGGCAAGCCTCTGGCAGTTAGCAGGTATTAGATGATACTGAGCTGTAGCCTCTAACTAATATTTCTCTGGTATGATTTTCTGGGGAGTTATGTCTTTTATGTCCTGACTTGAAGCGCAATCATACTGATCAAAAGAGAGAGGTAAGGGCTGGAACAGAGGGAAGAATGGACATGGTGCAGGAGAACAGGATGCCTAGTTAGGACTGCAACCACAGAGTTGTACCCTCTGGGCACTGAAGAAAGCAGATGACTTGAACAAGGAACCCGGTGGTGGCTGCCGGCTCTGGCACAACTGAAGCCTGTCTCTCTCTAGTTTAAAGCTGAAAAAAATTAGAGGGCATGGGGGGTGGCTTGGTTTTGAACAAGTCCTTCATCAACTACAGGAAGAGTTTTAAAACTCCCTTGCAGTAGGAGAGCCATCTGACCTCCAGCACCAGGGGAGGGTTGTGCATGGAATTCAGCAGGTAAGGAAACAAATCTGGACTCTGACTCAACCTCCTTGTAAAAAAAGCATTAAATTACCCTATCTGTCTTCCTGTATGCAGTCTGTGAAACAGCTTGTCTCCCTTTGCCGTTAGACTGTGATGATCGCTTTCTCTGTAGATGCAGTACATATATACACAATATCTATGCACAAAGCAAAGCAACTTGACCTCCAGAACAGCTTTCAGTCAGACAGGCAAACTGGAATCAGTAAGACATAATCAATTACCAGCAACTGGGCTTATTTTCCTCAACAAATTCCCAATGTTGTTACAATTTTGGGAGTTTTGGGTTTGTGGAAGGGTTTGCAACATCTGTGGGAACATTTAGCCATGTGCCTAAATGTTGCATAATGTATGCAGTGAGCTAATGAGCTCCATAAGATTTCCAGAGGTTGAATAGCATCTTTTCCATACTGCAGGTTTTAGGTTACTTTTCAGTCTCCTTTTGCTTTCACCTCTGGTACAAATCCCTGTGACACACAAAGTGTGTCGTAGCTTCAAGAGGCTGTGAGTGCATGATCCTTGTCCATGCTCATGATTTCTGTTCAGCACCTGGGATTACTAACCCTTCCCATCCCTGCTTCATCCTGCAGCTGTGGTACCACCACACAGGAGGCACAGGAGGCTGTGCTGCACCAGCCAGCAGTGGAGCATTGGATACTCGCTTCCTGGAAGGGGGAAAATACGCCTGCTTCAAAAGACAAATGTGGGTGTCAACACAGAGGACAAAGAGGATTTGAGAATTTGTTGTAGCATAATCTTTGGAGAAAATGGCATATTCCAGTCGTTAGGCTGAATAAATAAGTTTCTCTTCAACTGTTCTTTGCTAACATTTTTCTTCTCCATTTCAGATTGAATAACATGGGAGATGCCAGTGCTAAATATAGGCTAGTGTTTATCTTCCAAACAGTTACAATCAAGGCAAAAGGGTGAAAAGCCAGGGTGATTTAGCTCTGTCCTGGATAGGCCTTCCTGAATACAGCTGGAAAAATAAACCTCCCTTCCAGTCTTCCTGTGCTGCTAATTTTGAAGGTTTCTCTTGCAGTGTTTTTTAGTGTCATGACTATCGTGACTATCTGTCCTGTAAGGATTTCAGGAAGACCTGTTAATTTCCCTTTAGTGAGGGTAATGACTGTACCAAAGGGTTCTGAGTCTATCACCCACTCCCTAGGCTTGAGATGTGGGTCGTACATTTCCCTTCATCAATTCACAGCTTAAAAGCATCCAACAGATGCCACTTACAGTGATGCTCAGCATGGCAGTGAGTAGGCACAAACATTCCATGTCTGCACAGGAAGGAGCTGGGAGCCAATCTCTCATGGTGCAGCAGGAGATGTCTCAGGGCAGAGGGGAGACTGAGCATCCCAGGAGTTTCTTCAGCACTATTTTTCCAAGTTACAGGAAATTGCACAGCAAATTTGTCTTTAATGGGACTGTCTTTTATTCTCGTATCACTTCATGTGTAAATCATTCTGTCCTCTGTGGCAAGAGGATCATCCAGTCAGTAAAAGCTTGAACTTGAAAGCAATTTTTTTACTCTCTGTTTTGTGTCCAGTCCCCTTCAAGCCTGTCAGCATTTCTCCCCTGTGCTTGTGTTGAAATGCTGTGTTAGTGTAAAGCTGATCATGCTGGCGTGGTGGATCTGTACCTCTGCACCTTACTTGGCCTGACCAGTGTAGAGGGGATCTGAACAGTGTAGTATTGTTGCTCTACTGGCATCAGGGGAAAAAAATCCTCTTTGTACATCTTATGGACAAGGTTTTTCTGCTCTTTTTGAAAACATTTTAGCTAAATTTAACTCAGTAATTCATGGAGGATTTCTGGGTGCAATTTAGTGTTCACTTCAAGAGGCTGAGGATAATCTCCTTTCCTAGCTGTGTGTGCCCCATTTCTGCTCTTGGATAACTTCTCTTACCCCTGAGTTTCCAGGGATTCACTGGGGACACTTTGGAGTGGAGCTGTTATCAGGAACAAATATGACAAGGTGCTTGCAATTCCTGCAGGTTTCTGTGCTGGGATCCTGAAAATGCATTTGCTTTAGGAGCTGGTTAATGATATCTTGTGACCTTTACCTGTGCTGTGGGTCTGATTCTGCAGCAGCACAGTGGACGGACTGTGGGACACTGCTGTGGGTAAGAAGCACCACACAACTGTTGTTACCTAACCTCCTAAGTGACAGCAGACCCGTGGGACGAAACACAAACTCAGGCATCTCTTTAATTGTCAGGCTGACAGCGAACAAATTGCAGTGTAAAAGGGACTGATGGGTGAGCTCCAGCAAATCTGATTGCTGTGGTTTCTCAAACGTCAGCAGTGCCAACCATTTGCTGGCTGCCCTCCATGAGGTTGTGGCTCCCTGGCACTGTTCATAGACCTCAGTCTCCATGGCTCCCGGTCTTACGTGCAGGCTTTTGAGACACCACCAGAGAGATCAGCATGGTTCTCCAGGCTGCGTCTA